GTCTGGCCTCCTTGCTGCGGAGCTTGGACAAGTCCCTGGCTCTCTCCGGGTCTGTTTCTTCCTTCCGTACTGGCTCAGGGCGCTGGTGAGGATGGTCTCCAGTCCCTGGGGCTCGACCACCCAGCCTAGGGCGGGTGCCGGCAGGGTGCAAGGCGCAGCTGGCTCAGGCACCTCTGTGCCGCCCTCATCGGAAAAATACAAAACTTTCCTTGGAGCCCGCGCGGGGAGGGAGGCGCTGAGGCAGGCGGCAGGAAGGGGGGGGAGAGGGTCTGCTGTGTGGGGGCCCAGAACGAACAGGCTGCCTGTTCCAGGGACAGGACGCAGCACACACACCCTGCCAAGCCGGAGACAAGAGGAAGTTCGGGTGGGGGGAGGATTGGAAAGAAGATGTTCCCTCAGCTCTGGGTGCTCACTTGGAGCCCCCCCACAACCAGACACCTCTGCCTCCCACGGGGCCCCCCACGCCAGTGCTCAGGCCCCCATCTCAGGCCTCGCAGCAGCGCATGCGCACGCTGCTGACGGGGTTCTGCTGCCCTGCCCCCACTCTGCCCTGGGCTCCCAGGCATCGTCTCTCAGAGCTGCATCAGGCAGGTGTGGCCGAGGGACCCCACCTCTCGGGCCCGGGGCAGGGCCCCCCACCCCTGAGAACCACTGTGAAAACAGGGCGAGAATGTCTCCTCGAGAAAGGAAAAGGGGCCCTGTCTCTCCCACTTTCCTGGCCTCTCCACCTCTCCGCCCCTCTGCCCCACTGGTCCTTCTTGCCTCTTTGCCCCTGGGCCCAGTCTCACCTCCACCACACCGTGCCCCGTGTCCTGGCCCTCCCACATCCCTGGGGCCTGTGCAGCAACCCCCCAAGGCAGCCGTCCCCGGCCCCCAGGCTGCCTCCAAAGACACAGCCCCTCCTGAGGCGATGCTGGGGAAGGAGAGCTGGGCCTGCAGAGGGCTCGTGGGGAGTCCGGGTGGGCCTCGTCCTCCCCCCCCCCCCCCCCCCCCCGGCAGAAGCTAAAAGCACGGTCTCTCCACAGTTTTCTGCCTTCGAGGGAGGTGGCAGGAACTCAGGCCTCCACGGTTAGACCCAGCCTGGGGGCAGTGGAGTGAGGCCATGTGACCCAGGAGGGCCCCACAGGGTGGCAGGCAGGGACCGTGGGCCAAGCCTGGGCAGGGAGGGCCAGGTGAGCAGTGGGTGGACCCCAGCTGCCCGGCTTCTACCGCACAAGGACAGGGTCACGGGGCTGGTGCAGCGGCGGCCCTGGTACGGGGCGGGGGGGGCATCATCAGCTGGTGCTCTGCTCCCCCCACGGAGCCTGTGCTCCCACCCTGGGGGCTAAGTGCTGCTAACCACTGACCACCGCAGGCGATTTCCCGGCGACTAGCTGCGATGGAGGCCCTGTGCAGACAGGGGGAGTCTGGAAAGTCCCAGGGCTATGAGTCCACAGGCTCAGGCAGCCTGACGGGCCTGGATGAGCTTTACCCCCCAGCACACCCGGGGAGCCAGGCAGTGGGACAGGGAACCTGCACTAAGGGGCCCCAGGGCAGGTGTGAGCCCTGCAGGCACAGAGCAGCCAGAGGGAGGCTGCACAGAGGACCTGCGGAGGGGGCCTGGGGCCGTGTTTAGGGTGCGGGTGGGGGGTGTGGCTCCCTGAGGCTATGCATTTGGGAGGGAGCTGTCATCTCATCTCCAAATAGGCATCTTAGCCTCACGGACCAGCACCTGGGGTCTGGGAGCCCGGAACCCGAGCGGCAGAAGATTGGAACCCCAAAGGGACAGAACGGGGGTGGGGTGGGGGGGTTGCTGCCTGCAGACCTCCCCCTGTGGTCACTCTGGCCTGCCCTCCCTGCCGACAGAGCCCCCTCCTTCGAAGGCAGTCCAAGGAGCAGCTGACCAGCTTGGCTCTGGGGGGGGGTGACAGTCCCCCAGGCCTCCCCCCTGCACAGCTTCCCCTCCCTCTCCCCACTCTGCAGCCCTGAGGTGCCCTGCTCTGGGTGAGGTTGGGGGCTGGAGGCCGCACTCTGCACCTTCACCCCTGCTTGTGGAGAAAGGGGGGCGGCGGAGCAGGGCGGGGCCGACGCCCCCATCCTGGGTGGTGGGGAGCCAGCCTGACCTCTTCTCCGGAGGCAGCAAAAGAACGGAGCCCGAGGCTCCAGTGCGGGGGTGTGCTGAGGGCTTCTGGGGCGATAATTGGGCAGCGATTAAGTGTTCCCACGCCGAGGCTGTCGCCTGTCACTTGTGACGGCCAGTGCTGCGCGGCCTCCGCGCAGGTCCTGCCAGGTCTCCCCGTACCCGCCAGCGCCCCCCTCCGCTGGACTGTGCTTCCTCGTGCCCGCAGCAGGCTGCTCTGGCCCTGGGAGGGGGGCACCAAGGGCTCGGAGTCTGAGATCCTCTCCCCCACCTGGGTACCCCCACAAAGGGGATGCTCACTCAGCCCCCAGCGCCCATAGTGCTTCGCTGCTTTTCTGGGTCCGGTCAAGCCCTCCGGCCCTCTAGGTCCCAGCTGGGCTCCCCGCTCCAGGAAGCCCTGCCCGATGGCTGCCAGCTTGGGTCGGGTGGAGTGGGGGCTGGAGGTCACTGTGGGCCCGAGACCCCGAGAGCTGTGCCCTGGCCTGGGCCACCCAGCTGGTCAGGAGCCCTGGGCCTCAGTGTCATCCTCAGGAGTGACCTGGTCTTTGTAAGCCGCTGGTCATTCACGTGCTGGCTCTCTGGCACTCCCACTGCTTGCACACACATGCACACACACATGTGCATGTGAGTGTGGTCCCGGCCCAGCTGGCTTATTAGGTGTCTTCCGCGACAACGGCCCTGAGACACAAGCCTGAGCTCACCTCAGACGTGGACACAGACTCAGAGCTACAGGCAGGCCCCATGGTGACCAGCCAGTCACACCTGTGGGCCTGGCCACGCTCCCTGCCACACAGACATTGCACACATGGGCACAGGCAGGTTCCCAGGAACGCAGCCTGGGCTGGGCAGCTCTGGGATTCCTGTTCTCGCAGCTTCTCTGCCTGGCTCCCCCTCCCTACTCCATGCTGCCCCTCCACCCTCCCTTTCTGCCCACCCACTCGCCTTTAATTAGAAATGCCAGGAGAGCGATTCTGGGCAAGTTTTTGCCAGAAAGACATTTCCCCCCAACTAGGGGTGGAAGCTCAGAGGGGGAAAGAGACAGATTGGCTCTGGGGTAGGGAGGAGGGTTTCCAGGAGAGCAGGGAGAAGGGGCCTCGTGGAGGGGCAGGGAGTGGGGATTCCAGAGAGTGTGTGAGTCAGACAGAGTGGGGCTGGACACGGATGGGGGGGGACGGGTGGGGGGTATGAGTGTGTCTGGGGGATGGGTGGGGGGTACGAGAGGAGGCCATGAGCGTGCAGTGTGTGTCTGAGAGAGGGAGTGGGAAACTGGCAGCAGGGGCTAGGGGGGCTTGACTCACTGGTTGTGTGTCTGCCTCTGGCTTTGTGCAGCATGCATTACCTGTGCCCGCATAACATCAGAGGACCTGGAACCCATAAGCATCCATCCTGGGGTAACCCAGAAAGGACGTCCCTCCCCCACCACTGTTGCCAGGGAGGCAGAAGGGGCCTCCGTCCGGAGGGAATCTCAGCTTCCGGAGCCCCATTCCTTATATGGTGCTCTGCTTTTCGCTGCCTCTCCTGACTGCATAAGGCTGCCAGCACCCCTTCCGCCGCTACCGCCTCCTCCTTCCTCCCCCTCCTCCCCTCCTCCTCCCTCCCTCTCCTCCTCCCTCCCCCTCCTCCTCCTTCCTTCCCCTCCTCCCCTTCTCCTCCCTCCCCCTCCTCCCCCTTCTCCGTCCTTCCCCCTCCTTCCTTCCCCCTCCTCCCCCCAACCCTCTTCCATCCTCTCAGAAGTCTTGGAGCTTCTGACCAGGTTCCCTCTGTGGCCTGGAAGGTTCAGGTAGCAGGACCCCTTCATCTCCTCCACATCCGCAGAGAGCAGCTTCCAGATTTCTCTGGAGGTACTACACGGAGAAGTTCTGGCCCTCACCACAGGCGTGGGAGTGGGGGCACCGGGCAGTCCTGTCCAGCCATTGCCACACTGGTGTCACACATGCACACACACGGGGAGGGGGGAGGGCCAACCCCGCGCGCCCAGACTTGAGAGCCCCCAGGACAGCGGTAGGCAGGAGCTAGAGGCCACACCTGGGAAAGCACACTTGGGGACTTGGGGACACTTGGGCGTGCTTGCACTCGCCCGGCACAGGAAACCTCCTTGAAGCCTTCAGCTCCAGGGAAGGAGGGTATGGATGGCTGTCGGGGTGGTCGCCAGGGCTCCTCCGTGGCTGGACATCCGGCCACGCCGGACCAGGCAGGGGCGGGGGCGGGGGCAATGAGGCCCTGAGAGAGCAGAGTCCAGCACCACCCCGCCCCCTAGTACGGACGGAGAGGAGGGGGCCCACCCGGAGACCCTGGGGGAGGTAGGGGCTTCTTCCTCCTAACCTTTGGGTGGGTGGGGGCATCTCACTACCCGCTCCAGGCCCCCGCGGGATCACACCTGCGCCGCCCCGCGGGTCGCGGGCAGGAGGGGTGTCGCTGGGTCCGGGTACCTTCCCTCGCCCCGCAGGCTGAATGAGCCGGGGAGGGGGCGTCGGGAGCCCGCAGGAGGATTAGTCACCCCGGCCGCTGGCGCGTGCAGGGGGTGGGTCCTCCCCGGGCGCCGGGCGCGCGGGCGGGCGCGGGGGGCGGGGCGCGCGGGGCGGGGAGCCCGGCTGGGACCAATGGGAGCGGGGGCTCGGCGAGGGGGCCGCCCACGGCCGCGCGGCCGCATAAAGAGCCGGCGGCGGCTGCAGGGCGCAGAGCTCCGCGCCGCGGCTCTCCGCTCCTCCGCGCCGCGGCTCTCCGCTCCTCCCAGCTGCGCCGCACTCTTCCGCGCTCTGTCGCCGCCGCTGCCGCCGCTGGACCGAAGGGACCGTCCTGGCTCCACTGCACAGCCGGTCCACGAGGACTTTGCAGCCTGCCGCCCCTCGCCAGTCCGATCGCCGCGGCCACCTGCGCACCGATGGAGCTCGACCAAATGACGAGCGGCGGCCTCCACGCCTACCCCGGGCCGCGGGGCGGGCCAGCGGCCAAGCCCAACGTGATCCTGCAGATCGGTAAGTGCCGGGCCGAGATGCTGGAGCACGTGCGGAGGACCCACCGACACCTGCTCACCGAGGTGTCCAAGCAGGTGGAGCGGGAGCTGAAGGGGCTGCACAGGTCGGTGGGGAAGCTGGAGAGCAACCTGGACGGCTACGTGCCCACCGGCGACTCGCAGCGCTGGAAGAAGTCCATCAAGGCCTGCTTGTGTCGCTGCCAGGAGACCATCGCCAACCTGGAGCGCTGGGTCAAGCGGGAGATGCATGTGTGGCGGGAGGTCTTCTACCGGCTGGAGAAGTGGGCCGACCGCCTGGAGTCCATGGGCGGCAAGTACCCGGTGGGCAACGATCCGGCTCGCCACACCGTCTCCGTGGGCGTCGGGGGTCCGGAGGGCTACTGCCAGGAGGCGGATGCCTACGACTACACCGTCAGCCCCTACGCCATCACCCCGCCGCCTGCCACCGGCGAGCTGCCCGGGCAGGAGCCCGTGGACGCCCAGCAGTACCCGCCCTGGGGGGCCGGTGAGGACGGGCAGCCCAGTCCCGGTGTGGACACGCAGATCTTCGAGGATCCGAGGGAGTTCCTCAGCCACCTGGAGGAGTACCTGCGACAGGTGGGCGGCTCCGAGGAGTACTGGCTGTCGCAAATCCAGAACCACATGAACGGGCCGGCCAAGAAGTGGTGGGAGTTCAAGCAGGGCTCTGTGAAGAATTGGGTTGAGTTCAAGAAAGAGTTCCTGCAGTACAGCGAGGGCACACTGTCCCGGGAGGCCATCCAGCGGGAGCTGGACCTGCCGCAGAAGCAGGGGGAGCCGCTGGACCAGTTCCTGTGGCGCAAGCGGGACCTGTACCAGACGCTCTATGTGGACGCGGAGGAGGAGGAGATCATCCAGTACGTGGTGGGCACCCTGCAGCCCAAGCTCAAGCGCTTCTTGCGCCATCCACTGCCCAAGACCCTGGAGCAGCTCATCCAGAGGGGCATGGAAGTGCAGGACGGCCTGGAGCAGGCGGCCGAGCCCACGGGCCCCCGCCTCCCCACTGAGGACGAGGCCGAGGCGCTCACGCCAGCCCTCACCAGCGAGTCTGTAACCAGTGACCGGACCCAACCCGAATAGAGGCCAGCCCGGGCCCCAGCCTGCCCACCACACCCCGCCTGTGGCCTATGCCAACCAGGACTGTCGAGCTGGGCTGACTCCTGCACAGGGGTGCCCCTCATCCTCACCTGGCTGGGCACCCGACCTCAGCCTCCCAGCCTGACTCACACAGACACATGTCATCCAGCTGTGGGCAGTATCCCCCAAACAGCGAAGGGCCCCTGCCCTGTCATCCTCCCTCTGTCTGTCTTTCCCGGTCTCTGGCCCCATCCTGCACACTCTCTGGCCACCCCAGGACCTCCCAGCTTTGGTATTCTGCTCAACCGCCTGGGCCCCCTGGGCACTCAGAAATCAAATGTCCAGATGGCCCAGGCCAGTGAGCCCCGAGCCCAAGGGACACCCCAGAGCAGAAGCTAAGACAGCAGCAACACCACGGGAACCTTGGCTTTGGGGCGCCGCCTTCCCCTGGCAGTTGCTGTGCAGCCGGCTGGCACTCTTGCTGCCGCCCAGGGCAGCCGGCCAGCCTCAGGCAGCGAGGCTCCCTCCTGCTGCGGAAAGCCAGAGCCTCAGGAGTGACCGACCACTGCGGCGGCAGCACTGCGGCGGTAGCAGCAGCAGACCTGGCGTCCTGGTGCCTCCTGGCCCCTCAGGTGAGCTCCAGCCCCAAGGCACTCCCGCCAGGGGGCACTGTGGGGTAGGGAGGGCCCGGGGGCCAGGACAGCCCCAGCAGGTTAGCTGCAGGGATGGGGTGGGGGAGGGCTGCAGTGGGGAGTTGTGGGGAAGGAGCAGAGACCCCAGGGATCAGGGAGAAGGGCCGGGGTGGGCGGCGGGGCGGTGGGACGGCGGAGCCGGCTCTCACACGACCCCGTGCTCTCTCTTTGCTCAGCACTAGTGATTCACCCCAGCCTGGAAAAGGATCCGCTGGGCTCGATGACTCACCCGCAGCCCGGGGAGGGTCCCACAGGACCTGAGTCCTCAAACTCAGCTGAGGAGCCAGGAGAGTGACGACAGGTATGGCCGCTCTCTCCACTGAGACCCTGCCCCTGCCCGCCGCCCCTCCCCCCCAACACAGTGCTCTGGGCAAGCTGAGAGGCAGCCCAGCATGGGGGCTTGGCCCTGGGGGAGCCGCCCCATAGCGCCCATCCCATACCCCTCCTGTGCGGCCCCTCCCAGCCTGTGGCCTGTCTCTAACCGCCGCCCCCCCCCCCCCCCCCCCCGCCCCGTCTTTCTTTCAGGTCTCAACGCTCCCACAGAGCCTTCGCTGCCATGCCTGGCATGCCCCTCCCTCTCCTCCTGCAAGCTGCCCGCATGAGGAGACGCTGAGGTCAGCAGAGGGGCTGCAGAGAGGGTGGGCCTGGCAGAGAGCTGGTGATGAAGATGGGCCAGTGTGAGGGCCAGGGCCTGCCGCTAGGCCTGCCCCGCTGACCACCAGCCTGCCCGCCCCCACGGCTGCTGTGGCTGGAGGTGGGGTCTGCTACCTCGGGCCGGTCTCGCTCCAGCCCAGGAACCCTTGCCCACCGCACGGCGGCCATCCTCTCTTGCCAGAGCTTTCCAGGAGCTCTGAGGCTGAGGCCCCAGCCCCAGCCCCTGCCCGCAGCCCCAGGCCCAGCCCCAGGAGATCCCAGAAGCCTTGCACCTGGGGCTTAGGCAGGCTCTCTGCCAGGCCCCGCCATAGCCGGGGCCCAGACCCCCACCTGGGGGACCCCCAATGCCCCAGTGCTGGCCGGCCACTCGTGTCTGCAGCCCGAGGAGGCCCTGGCCGGGGGTTCTCCTTTCTGCCTGTCCAGTGGGGGTTTCCAGATTCAGGGGACTGATGGCTGCAGGTGACTCTGTCAGTCCCTCCATCCTGCACCCCTGCCAGCCCCCCCCCCCAGATTTTATTTTTGCACATAAGCCATAACCCATACTCATAGGCTGGCATAGGCTGCAGGGAGGCCCTGGGGTCCTCAAGAGGGTGTGACTGGTCCCCCCCCCCCGTCCCCAGCGGGTCAGGCCTTCAGTGTCGGGCCAGGCTGTGTGTACCCCTGTCACCTTACCTGAAGACAGACTCTTTTGTAAGATTTTGTTAATAAAACAGTGAAACTTCTCGGTGCGTGCTGTTGTTTCTCGTTGGCTGGCATGGAGCTGCGGAGGGAGGTGGCTCAGGGTGGTGGTCCCCAGAAGCCACATGAGTGCAGAATGAAGGGTCTTTGGGGACCTAGGGAGCACAGCCCCATCACCCTGCAGGCCAGTCGGTCAGGGTCCTGGATCCTCAGGACAGTAGGGCCTTAGGGGCTCCCCTCATGGAAGCCCATGCCCTGTGGCCTCCAGGCCTGAGGCAGCCAGCAGTGGCAGAGATTGGTGGAGACTGCCTCCTGGCTAAGCTGAGGACTGCCCCCCAGCATCCTCTGCCCACTGCCCGCTGGGGCGTGGGGGTGTCCTGAGAGCTCTCCTGCCACCAGCCTCAGCCCACGTGGAGGCCCAGGGCTTCTGCCTCGGGGTCTCCTCCAGCATCGAGCCCTGGGGACCCAGGCAAGTCAAGATCCCCTCTGGGAGGTGACCCTGACAAATCCTGGGTCGTAAACGTGTTCTCTCCAAGCCTGTTTCCTCATCTGCCAAATGAGCAAACCATCACTAATATAAATCCACGTGCAGGTTCAAGATCGGAGAATGGAACCTCACTGGCCTCTGAGGTCCCAAGGCCCCCGAGAGGGAGAGCTAGACTGGAGAGGGCTCAAACCCCTGGACCAGCCAGTGATCAAGGAGAAGCAGGTCCAGTGGAGGTGGATGGTGAGCCTTTGGTTACAAGGAGTTCGCTTGCTCCGTTGTGGGGCAGGCTGGACCTCCGGGGCTCAGGCTGAGCTGCTGTGGGATTTCTTCTTCCCGGGCGATGGCTCAGCTCCGCAATTAGGGCCTGTCAACTGATTGAGCCAGGCCCACCCAGATGACCTCGGTGATCATCCTTATGTAAAGTCAACTGATTATGGGCTTCAGTCACACCTGCAAAAGGCCTTCCAAGCAATACTTGCATTAGGGTTTGATTGACTGCTGGGGGATGGTTCCCTAGCGAGGCTGACATGTCAAACTGACCATCGCAAATGCCACAGTCGTGGGCAGATGCTGGTCACCCACCCAGCACAGGTACTCCCCTCCAGAGCGGCTGCTCTGCTCCAGGGGGTGCTGGGCCAGGGGGCCAAGGCAGGCGTGGGTAGTGCGAGCGCAGCCCAGCCTGGGGAGGGCCGCCCCTGCTAGAGCCTCACTGCAGGGTCCTGTGGAGGAAGGAGCCCTGTGAGGCCACAAGGAGGAGAACTGCCGGGGCAGGAAGTGAGCGGGGGCAGAAAGAACCACCTGCCACGAGGAAGTGTCGTCACCTCTGCGGCGGCGGGGGGGGCGCTGGCAGCCCTGAGCAAGGCCCTCCGTGGTGAGAAGGCGGCCTGTTCCCTATTCTTCCCTTTTATTTCTTTTAAATAATGGACGCTGTGACAAGAATGGGGAAAGGAAATTGACGGGAACAGGAGGCCAGGGCCCCACGGTGACGCCTGAGAGGCAGTGATCTCTCCCAGAGAAACACTCCAGCTCACATCAAAAGCTGGAAGCTGTAGGTGCTTTTTCTTTTTAATAATAAAAAGCTACTCCCTGTAATTGGATGATTGTGAGACAGGCTATCTGAGCACTTCAAATAATTGGAGATGCAGCTCCAAATCTCTGTGTCCTCAGAGAAGAGGCTGAGGGTGAGGGAGGAGCAGGGCGGGGTGGAGTAGGGTGGAGGGGCCCAGACCCAGTCACGTCCCAAACGGAACGGGATGTTCCCAGAACAGGCCTCGCTCACGCCTCCCCGTCTTGCTTGCCCATTATCACAGACTACCCAGCCTCCCTTCTCGACAACAGCGTGGGGAAACTGAGGCACAGGGAGGGGCTGTGCTTGCCTCCCTTTGGGGATCAGAGCTGGAACTGGAGACAGGCCATCCAGAAGCCCTGCGGGGGCTCACCTACAGATCCAATTTGCTGCGGGGCTTCTGAGCCATGTGGATGTGGGCTCAAGCCCCAGGGCTGCCTTTTCTCTAAGGTCAGGTCTGCCCATAGAGCTGGCATGAGGGTCAGAGGGCAGGGGGCCCAGGCTGGGGAGGTGCTCAGAGGGTTACTCCCTATTGTCTCTCCAAGGCTCAGCTGAGACATAGGTCTTGCATGTCCCCTTAATGTGCTGCTGGGGGTGAGCACTTAGCCCTGGGGGTTAAGCAAGCTGCAAGGGCCAGCCTGAGAAACGGGCTTGGAACAGTGTTTGAGTCAGAGTGAGGCCAAGCTGCTGTAACAAAGAGGCCCAACAAAACGGCTTCTTTGCAGTCCCACGAGCATGCAGCTGGTGCCTGGGCTCCTGGGCTTATTCAGACCTTGCGAGTGCGCTGCCACATCCAGGCCACTGTCCTTGTCTGCTGCCTGAAGCCAGAGGAAGGGCAAAGACACAGGAAGGGCATACCACAGTCTTTAGGCTCAGAGAAGCCCAGGGAAGAGGCCCATCACTGCCACCCACACCAGCCCCAGGGCACGCAGTCACAGGGCCACATCTATAGCTGCATGTAGGAGGGAGATGGGGAGGATTTTGGTGGACAGCCAGAGGGCAGAAGGCCGCACGGAAAATTGTTCCGGGTAATGTGAACTTCACCTTGCCCCAGGGAGGTCGGGCCTCTGTCCTCAGCTGCTGGGAGGTCACCGCTGAGCCCGGGGACGTCCTGAGTCCAGTGTCCTTGTTCCCCTGGGGCTCTGGGCCACACGGTATCAGCTCGGCCTCCGGAAGGGCTGGAGACTGAGGTCAGCCACGCAGGCAGCCGACCAGGTCTGAGTGACGGGAACCAGATAAAGACCTTGGACACCGAGGCTGGGGGCTTCCCCGGCTGGCAACACTCGTATGTGCTGTCACTTCGGGGCCCGCGACTCCACGGGGAGAGGGCAGTATGGACCCTCCTGGGCCCTGCTCTGGGCACCCCTTCCCCTGGCTGATGGCGGTCTGGGTCCTTTCCCTGTGATAAACCGTAACTGTGAGCATGACAGCTCTCGTGAGTTCTGGGAGCCCTTCGAGTGGATCAGCGGACCCGACGGGGTCTTGGGCACCCCAGACTCTACAATTGGCATCAGAAGTGAGGGTGGTCTTGAGAATTGTTCCCAGGTGATATAACTTCATAGATGATGTCACTCTTTCTAGTCCATAAGGGACTTTTAACTCCAAGGGGATTTAGGATTAACATAGAAATTTAACAGAATCAAACTCAAAATGTTATCATATTTGTCAAGAATTTATATGTGCTTCATATTTCAAGCATTTTCCCACTGGAGAGAATTGGACTGATAGGAATAAGGGAGAAGCTCATGATGCTGACGTGAATTGTCTAATGGGGTCGCTGGTGTAGACTTGTGACTTTAGGTAGAAGCCATATAATTTTATGTATAGTACTGGAACATTGGAAAGACCTTAAGAATCACCATATTTTTTAGCCTAATATATTGAGTTTATAATAATTTTTTTAAAGATTTTATTTATTTACTTGACAGAGAGAGACACAGCGAGAGAGGGGACACAAGCAGGGGGAGTGGGGGAGGGAGAAGCAGGCCTCCCGCGGAGCAGGGAGCCCGACGCGGGGCTCGATCCCAGGACCCCGGGACCATGACCTGAGCCGAGGGCAGACGCCTAATGACTGAGCCACCCAGGCGCCCCGAGTTTATAATAATTTTTAAGTATTTAGAAATTTCACAAAGTTTGAAAAAAATAGATTCCCCATAGAATATGTTGGATTTTATGGATGTAGTTTAAAAGGTTCGAAGACATCAGTGGGACCAAACATTAAAGTACCCTTCAATTGGCTCCACAGGTGTAGCACTGCTAAGTGTCCCTTAGAATCTGAAGGGAAAACTTGGTTGGGGATTTGTAATTTGGAGCTCTGGCACTCATTTAAAGACCAAAGTGACTTCTGAGCCCTTGGTCCCGGGTGCAGCCCCCAGCATGGCTGAGCTCCCTCCAAGGGGGATTCAATCCCTGTGCTCAGAGCTGTGTGTCCCTTGAGTGACTGGGGACCACCACCCAGCTGACCTCTCCTGTCCCCGTGAGGCTCCCTGCGCTCCTCCTCTCCTCCCTGCCGTGCCGCCCTCCACCCCCGAGCTCCCCCTCCCATGCTGTGGTGCTCCCAGCCAGCGCCCTACTTCCCATTAACTTGTTTCCTCCAGGACAGAGGCCAGGCAGACCCAGACCCCCAGCTGGGGGCTCTGGAGGCCCCACATGGCCCTCACTTCCCACTGCAATGGGGCCTCGGAGCCTGCCCGCCTGCCCAGAGCGGGGGGACTGAGGTCCCAGGGGGCTGGGAGTCACCAGGTGAACCAAATAGCCTCCTTCGAGTCTCAGTCCACCTCAGGCCGCACCTCTCACCAGAGTGAAAGCAGGACATCAGGCAGCAAGCATTCTTCCTGGGCCGCATCCTCTGTCTTCCTGCCTCTCCTACCCTGTGTAGCCCCACACAGGCGCCCCTGCTCACCTCTTAGCCAGTCCAAACCCGGCCTACCCAGCTGGCCCGCTAACCCCAGTGCTGACCCCGGGCTGCCTGGGGGACCCGGGTGAGGGCAGCTTGGCCTGAGGGTGTAGCTGAAGCTGGACCACAGGGTGGGGGTGGCCCTTCCAGAAGCAAAGCCACTGGCAGGGTGGGGTTTGCTCCCCTGAAGCCCCCCAGAACCCCCACCCCTGCTGGCCAGTCCTGCTCTTTTCTCTGCACCCCCAAGTCCACCAACCAGTGGACGCTGTGCTAAGGCTACACCCCTGGATCCCCAGGACTGACCCCCCCTCCTCATGGTGGCCCTCAAGTCC